ACTTCCATGAAGCATTTATACAAACAAGCATAAATACTAAAACTTCTTTGGCATGAGGTAGAACATCTGAATCAAATTTAGTTCCAATATCAATATAACCAGTGATTTTGTCTCAGTCCATTCGACCTGCTCCCTGATAGACATTTCATGTAAGACCAGGTTGCACAGGATGTTCTGGTTTTTTGACGCTAACTTTTTTACTTTCAAAACATTTAGTGCTTCTGAAGTAAAACCAGGAGAGCCATCATTGACTGATACCATTTAGAAATCGTGGATGGATGAGGTAAAGATTATTAAAAGTATTCCTTACGAACTGGTATTCTTTTGGGAGTAAAAGATAGCGTCAAAGCAAACATCTAATAGATGGGTCATATTTTTGTGAAGATGGGCCTTTCAACATCCTCTCGAATATTTTTTGTCCTGAGGTTGATAAAGAGGCCTAAAAAAATAAAAAGATGGGTGTAAGGTGTAATAGCACTGCTGCTCATTATTTTAGAGTTAAATCACCACATTCATCTTAAAAGGTTGACTTTGACTACCTTCTCCAGTCATTAACATACATTTAACTAGTTAAATTAAACAGGAATTGATGAAACAAGTAAATTTATTACACATTCAATTCAAAAAAAAACATGAACCCTAAACTAAGTCTTTACTACTATCCAAACTCAGTATGATTGATACCAAAGAAAAAAATTGAAATAATTTTACTTCTGTCCGTTATTATATATTATCTAATTAGAGATTTTTACCTCAAGAACAGTCCCTGAAGAATTAATTATATATGATTTTTCTTTAAGCAGCTTCATCAAGCCTCCTAATATCTTGATTTTTTTCTTAAAGTATGTATTGCTAGCCTGAAGATTATGACTCTTCTTTCTCAGAGCAGTTATAGTATTCTTCATCAAATGAAAATTCTTCTTCGCCTTCTCTGGTGTAGAAAAGTCTGATGAAGATAGGTAACCCACATACCTCTTTTTCTGAAACAATGAGATATGATTGGATTCATCATATATGTGAAGCATATGTCATTAAAATCTTATTAGATCAGCTATTTTCTCAATATTTCTCACCTATTTTACGTGCAGTTGCAAGAGAAACATCCTTGAATCCAGCATCAGGCTCTGGTTGGTTCTCAGTTTCTGAGACGCTAATTGTTGATGAAGAAGATCCAAAGCTTTGATCAAGATTGGAAACTGATGCTTTTTTCCTGTTGCTGACCTATAAAATAAAATATCATAATATAATTATATTATATTAATTATATAAAATATTTCATGTAATTTAATATTCAAAACAAAAATACTTACAAGCTGGTAGGCAAGCCAGAAATGCTGGGTAGGTACATCAAATTTCAGCCTGAAACAAAAAGCAAGTATTATATTACTATAAAGTATCTAGTTCTGCATAATTCTGCAAGCTTCAGTTGAATATATTTATTTGCTTTGATATGAGAATGATCATTTACCTCTTTACATCAGGAATGTTCATGGCACATCCCTTGAATGGCTGAGTAACTTGATCTGTTGAACTTTCGCTAATTGAAATCAGAACTGCCAAATCAATAAAATATCATGTAAAAATAAGCTTTGGTAGTCACAAAGCAATTAAATAACACTGAATTTCTTCATTTCATGTAATGTATCCATCGTTTCTACAAAAATCTGTATGATGACTCTCAAATATAGTTAAAAACTGTTGTTTAAGAATTTAATAAGACCTTCTAATTCTGTATGTGTGTTTGTATTTAGATCATTTACAACTCAAACCTAGTCCCTATAAGAACAGAGAAACGAAAAAAGCTCATGAAGCTATGCTAGCAAATTAGGTACTGAAAATAACAATTTAGGTCTTTGTATATGCTTCTAAACTTCATCAGCATTAGTCAACCTGGCATTCATGTCTTTTTGAACAGTTCAAGCACTCCTGTGGTCATTCTTTTTTGACAAGTAATAGTGTCTGTTGTTTTGACTAAAAATAAGCTGTGGTAGTCACAAAGCAATTAAATAACACTGCGAGTTTCTTCATTTCATGTAATGTATCCATCGTTTCTACAAAAATCTGTATGATAACTCTCAAATATAGTTAAAAACTATTATTTAAGAATTTAAGGAGATCTTCTAATTCTGTATGTGTGTTTCGTATTTAGATCATTTACAACTCAAACCTAGTCCCCTATGCGAACAGAGAAACGAAAAAAGCTGATGAAGCTATGCTAGCAAATTAGGTACTGAAAATTACAATTTAGGTCTTTGCGTATGCTTCTAAACTTCATCAGCATTAGTTAACCTGGCATTCATGTCTTTTTTGAATAGTTCAAGCACTCCTGTGGTCATTCTTTTTTGACAAGTAATAGTGTCTGTTGTTTTGACTAAAAATAAGCTTTGGTAGTCACAAAGCAATTGAACAACACTGTGAGTTTCTTCATTTCATGTAATGTATCCATCGTTTCTACAAAAATCTGTATGATGACTCAAATATATTTAAAAACTGTTGTTTAAGAATTTAAGAAGACCTTCTAATTCTGACAAATTTGTAGTTGGGTACTTCGACACTACTATTACATATTTTGAATGATTGTTTAGTTTAGTTTAGAGAACAGAGACCTTAACTCAAGTTAAATCAACAAGTGATAAATTGAAATGAAACGTGATTAACTACTTACGTTTGCAATAGAAATATCTACTTCTGGACGGACACTGTAAACGCTTCACAACACTTTCACTATTTGTAGCTGCAATTGCTTGTTCTAAGCTTCTAATTAATCCTTATTAACGGGAGCCTCATTATTAAGATTTCGATAATGTTTACATTCATACATTGTAGGTTAGAAATAGGAGGTGATGCAATTAGACATACGCTTTATATCAATCGGTTGGAAAAGCGGAGCTTTATGCCATATTGTAAAATTATAACATGAATAGGGGCTTACAATCATATTTTTATCGTATTTATAAACCGATGATGATTTCAATAAACTGATGAACGTCAAAGAATAATTGCAGCCTTTGGCGGTTGACATCGCAATCTGTAAACATAAAAAAACTACTAGATTCATCCGATTTTAATGGCTCTAGTCCGGTCCGTTTAGACAATGGAATATAAAAATTTGAATCTTTTCGAAAATGTTGATTTTCACGCGTAAAAAAGGACAATTCTATTTGGCGTGATCCAATATTGGATGAAGCGATAGTCATGAAGCCGAAAATGGCACGTTTTTGACGTTCCGCTCGCACTCGCTCGCTTTCGTAATACGATCGTATCTACAATACCCCGCCTAACAGGAATCCGGGGATCTGGAGGGGAAATTCAAAATTGAAAAGTCAAACTAAAAATGTGTGCATATCTTTGAATTTTCTAATCTGCCGAGTTTAAAAAATGCGATCGGGTAACGTGTCGTATGTCGGTTTAATCAGGAGACTTTGGCCTGTCGTTTTGCGAAAAAAAATCGTAGCTACGTCACTCCGTAACGCAGGTCCGTATCGACGAAGACAAAGTACGTCGAAAAACGGTTGTCATCGGTACTTTTGAGGCGCTCAAAGTTTACTTTTTCGAAATTTGACGGTAATTCTGACGGTCAGAATCGTTTCGTCAGCTCATTATCGTTATTTTTCGATAGCTGTATAATTTTTACTCGCTCACGTACGGTAGTAATAGGCGAGGACAGAGCCGGATGACAAGGTGACTTTTTCGCGTGTCGAAAAGTAGCGTATTGTCGAGGAATTTTTAAAAAATCGAAACTTTCGAACGACAAGGGATAAAGGAAAAAAAACACGCTATCTTAGTGTCCGATGTCCGGGCTTTCTCACGCAAAAATCGTCAGGTTCGTAGCTCCTTTATCTTCGGAGGAGATAGCTGATATACGATGAAGCAGCGCGCTTTATACGCAAAAAAGTCATTCTTGACGACGTTCGAGGTTCGTTTATTCGAAACGGGTACCGTAAACGAAAAAACGTCTCTCCGCGTAATTTGTAGCGCTCGCCGAGATGTACGAAACGCGGCACGCGAAATTCCTTTTCTCTTCGGCATAAGGGAGATATCGTAGTTTTCAAGGCGATTCGTCATTTTTGTCGCTTTTTTTTCGAACATTTCTAGAAAAAAACCGAGACGCGGAACCGAACAGATTTAGCTTATTGGTACGTATTTCTCGTTTAGCTATCGAACGAGACCGATCTCGAGTCGATATTTCGATAAACGGCGAAACCAGTGTGAAATAACGCCGCGTACCGTCCGAAAAACGGTCGATTTTTCGACTTTACCGGCCGTTTTCGATCCGATCCGTTCGTCTCGCCGCGACGGCTCTCGCCCGCCCGTAAAGCGCCGACCGTCTACTTTCCGAAACGGTACCTCTTTCCTTCCGGACGTTTCGCGAACCTCCTAAAAAACCGCGAAAAGCGCGTCGACGTCGCACGGCCTGACTCTAACGTCACGTGACCTTTTAAGAAAAAACAATCGATCACCGCTTAATATAGTCGACTAGCGCAGTTTCTGGCATGCTAACGCTATGCCAAATATTGTACGTTGATGTCTTTATTTAAAACCTCACGTAGCGCAGTTGCTGGTATGCTAATGCAATGCTAGCGATAACTATCTCTAATCATTTTTTATCCTTTGGCATCTTTGATCTGGTATCTGGTATCTGGTATCTGGTATCAGGTATCTGGTGTCTGGTATCTGATGTCTGGTATCTGGTGTCTGGCATCTGGTATCTGGTGTCTGGTGTCTGGTATCTGATGTCTGGTATCTGGTGTCTGGTGTCTGGTATCTGGTATCTGGTATCCGGTATCCGGTGTCTGGTATCTGGTATCTGGTATCTGGTGTCTGGTATCTGATGTCTGGTATCTGGTATCCGGTATCTGGTGTCTGGCATCTGGTATCTGGTGTCTGGTGTCTGGTATCTGATGTCTGGTATCTGGTGTCTGGTGTCTGGTATCTGGTATCTGGTATCTGGTATCTGGTATCTGGTGTCTGGTATCTGGTATTTGGTATCTGTTATCTCTTTATCTGGTATCTGGTTTCTGGTGGCTGGTATCTGGTATCTGGTATCTCGTATCTGGTGTTTGGTATCTGGTATCTGGTGTCTGGTATCTGGTATCTGGTTTCTGGTGTCTGGTATCTGATGTCTGGTATCCGGTATCCGGTGTCTGGTATCTGGTATCTGGTGTCTGGTATCTGATGTCTGGTATCTGGTATCCGGTATCTGGTGTCTGGCATCTGGTATCTGGTATCTGGTGTCTGGTATCTGATGTCTGGTATCTGGTGTCTGGTATCTGGTGTCTGGTATCTGGTATTTTGGTATCTGTTATCTCTTTATCTGGTATCTGGTTTCTGGTGGCTGGTATCTGGTATCTCGTATCTGGTGTTTGGTATCTGGTATCTGGTGTCTGGTGTCTGGTATCTCGTATCTGGTATCTGGTTTCTGGTGTCTGGTATCTGATGTCTGGTATCTGGTGTCTGGTGTCTGGTATCTGGTGTCTGGTGTCTGGTATCTGGTATCTGGTATCTCGTATCTGGTATCTGGTTTCTGGTATCTGATGTCTGGTATCTGGTGTCTGGTGTCTGGTATCTGGTATCTGGTATCTGGTATCTGGTGTCTGGTATCTGGTGTCTAGTATCTGGTTTCTGGTATCTGTTATCTTTTATAAGTTATCGGTTTTCATTTTTCATTTTTCTATTTTAATTTTTAATTTTTCATTTTAATTTTTCTATTTTAATTTTTAATTTCCAATTTTTAATTTTTAATTTTTAATTTTTAATTTTTAATTTTAATTTTTAATTTTCAATTTTTAATTTTTAATTTTTAATTTTTAATTTTTAATTTTTAATTTTTAATTTTTCGATTTTTCGATTTTTCGATTTTTCGATTTTTCGATTTTTCGATTTTTCGATTTTTCGATTTTTCGATTTTTCGATTTTTCGATTTTTCGATTTTTCGATTTTCGATTTTTCGATTTTTCGATTTTTCGATTTTTCGATTTTTCGATTTTCGATTTTTCGATTTTTCGATTTTTCGATTTTTCGATTTTTCGATTTTTCGATTTTTCGATTTTTCGATTTTTCGATTTTCGATTTTTCGATTTTTCGATTTTTCGATTTTTCGATTTTTCGATTTTTCGATTTTCGATTTGATTTTTGATTTTTGATTTTGATTTTTGATTTTTGATTTTTAATTTTCAATTTTTCATTTTTCATTTTTCATTTTTCATTTTTCATTTTTCATTTTTCATTCTTCAGATTTCAGTTTTCATTTTTTAGTTTTCAGTTATCAGTTATTTGTTATCTGTTATCTGTTTTCTTTTATCTGTTACTTTTTATCTGTTATCTGTCATCTTTTATCTGTTATAAGTTATCTGTTATCTGTTATATGTTACCACCTGTTACCTGTTACCACCTTTTACCTGTTATCTGTTATTTTCCATATAGCATTGAAAATATCCTGTATACAATTGTATAACAGACTCAGATTTATGTGAGATGCCGGCAACGTCGCATGTGTTGTTGTTAATACCATACATGGCGTTATAAAATCTTCCATGTAGCAAATTGTATAGCAGACTTAGATTTATATGAGGATCGTCGCATAAATCTAGCTATAACACGACTTGCAAAAAAATGGCGCTTGACACTGACATATGTCAACCGTGTTCGTCTACGGATAGCAGTGGACTATGCTTTCTTCAGTGTATATGTTTTCTGTTTTGTAATGTCAATGTCATTGTCATAGGTAATTTTTTCTAACCTGGAAAATGAAATGTATTTTGTTTAAAATTAAAATTCAATAACTCCTATTGTGAGATGTGTGCATCTACAACATAATGAAAGGAAAAATTAAGATTCTGACAGTTAATTCCTAAATATCATAGTAAGGAAATCCGTAAAACTAAAAAAAAAGTAAACATAAACACCTTGAGAAAACTTCTTCCGTATCAAGTGGTTAAAGTGGAGTTTTAAAACAATTTTTGTTGAAAATAAGGCCGTTAGTTTACAAGCAGGTATGTAACTGAGCGATCCGCTAATGTGTGTGTATCTTGCTTATAAAAAATGCTGTATTTAGATATGCTATTCATATGAGATACCGTTCTTTGATAGGATATTTTCAGATTGAACTTTTGTCTTATTTTTACTATTTATTGCAGGAGAACAGTTGAACCAGGTCCTGGTGCATACTTATGTAGTTGTCACTTTGTGGATGGGAAAAAAGAAAATAGACCTACATTGTTTAGGTATAATAGGGAGAAGCAATTGAACTTTCCATCGCCAGAAAGAAGAACCCGTAAAAATAACAACAATGTGAAAATTGAACTCTATAATATGTTACTTCAAATTGGGCCCTTTTAAGGGATGTATGTAATAATTATGTGATCTGCAGAAATAAAAATAGTTTCCCAGTAAGGAGCCTACTGTTGATTATTATTTTAATGTAGAGTTCAGTACTCGTATAGGTAACTTTCACTCCCCTGGCAGGCTTAATCTAAGTGATATCACAAATATGTCTATACCAAGTTACGATTATACTGTGCAAGAGTACTTATCTTACAAATTTTGACAAGTAATGGTGTCTGTTGTTTTGACAAGTCTTGGAAGTCACAAGTGCTTAAAGCAGCTACATTCTAAATCGATTTAGATCAAAATAAACAACTGCAGTGGCTGTGAAAGTCTTAGTAATTTTGAAAACTTTGGTAGTAGATATGATTATCAATGCTATTTTTCAGCGCTTTGCATATTCCTTCATCTGCTTGATAATATTTGCCAATCGAAGGGATAGATCCTCCTATATAATAGAGAATTCTATAATAATGTAGCACTGTTAGCCAGCTAATAGGTCTACATATTTAGATAAATTGAACTGAGGGTCAAGACTGAACTCTTACTGAACTTCATAGAAATAGTCACAAACTTCAAACCGTGCACTGACAGAATCTCACACCTAACACAAATGCCTATGTAAAAGTGAGCAATGATTCCATTTGCATTCAAAACATGAAAGTAATCAACAATTTTCATCACTTGTACAGAAATTTGAATGATTACTCTTAGGTGTAGTTAAAGACTAATTAGATCTTCTAATTCTGACAAGTTTGTTTACTTATTTTCCATTTATACATACTACTCAGGTGAGATACTACTACTACAAGGTTTTTACAATATTTATGAGTTTGTTGGTGGTAAATTTCTTCGTTTGGGAAAAATTCAACAGAAGCAGATGAACAATGCTCGCTTTATGATCTGGAGAAAAATGTGCTATCGCTTTAAAATAAAGTTTCCTCTATTTTTTTTAATGTTGTATGATTATGATCAATCAATTAGAAACATGACATATAATAATAACATCTCAAAAAATTAGACCAGAAGCTTGAAATTATTAAGTACTATAGTTGTTGGACAGTAAGTAATAGTATCGCTTGAAAATCAAATTTTGTAATCTGTTTCCTCTGATTCAATAATGAATTTTTTTGTAATCTATGATTAAGATCAGTCTTAGAAACAGGACAGATGTGAGTATCCTTGAAATTAGACATATAATAATAACATCTTTAAAAACAGAATAGAAATTTGAAATCATCAAGTGCTATAGTTTTTGACAAGTAATGGTGTCTGTTGTTTTGACAAGTCTTGGAAGTGACAAGTCCTTAAAGCAGCTACATTCTAAATCGAAGTACATACATTCTGCATTGAGATCAAAATAAACAACTGCAGTGGCTGTGAAAGTCTTAGTAATTTTGAAAACTTTGGTAGTAGATATGATTATCAATGCTATTTTTCAGCGCTTTGCATATTCCTTCATCTGCTTGATAATATGTGCCACTGTTAGCCAGCTAATAAGTCTACATATTTAAATAAATTGAACTGAGGGTCAAGACTGAACTCTTACTGAACTTCATAGAAGTAGTCACAAACTTCAAACCGTGCACTGACAGAATCTCACACCTAACACAAATGCCTATGTAAAAGTGAGCAATGATTCCATTTGCATTCAAAACATGAGAGTAATCAACAATTTTCATCACTTGTACAGAAATTTGTTAGTGTAGTTAAAGACTAATTAGATCTTCTAATTCTGACAAGTTTGTTTACTTATTTTCCATTTATACATACTACTCAGGTGAGATACTACTACTACAAGGTTTTTACAATATTTATGAGTTTGTTGGTGGTAAAGTTCTTCGTTTGGGAAAAATTCAACAGAAGCAGATGAACAATGCTCGCTTTATGATCTGGAGAAAAATGTGCTATCGCTTTAAAATAAAATTTCCTCTATTTTTTTTAATGTTGTATGATTATGATCAATCAATTAGAAACATGACATATAATAATAACATCTCTAAAAATTAGACCAGAAGCTTGAAATTATTAAGTACTATAGTTGTTGGACAGTAAGTAATAGTATCGCTTGAAATCAAATTTTGTAATCTGTTTCCTCTGATTCAATAATGAATTTTTCTGTAATCTATGATTAAGATCAGTCTTAGAAACAGGACAGATGTGAGTATCATTGAAATTAGACATATAATAATAACATCTTTAAAAACAGAATAGAAATTTGAAATCATCAAGTGCTATAGTTTTTTGACAAGTAATGGTGTCTGTTGTTTTGACAAGTCTTGGAAGTGACAAGTCCTTAAAGCAGCTACATTCTAAATCGAAGTACATACATTCTGCATTGAGATCAAAATAAACAACTGCAGTGGCTGTGAAAGTCTTAGTAATTTTGAAAACTTTGGTAGTAGATATGATTATCAATGCTATTTTTCAGCGCTTTGCATATTCCTTCATCTGCTTGATAATATGTGCCACTGTTAGCCAGCTAATAAGTCTACATATTTAAATAAATTGAACTGAGGGTCAAGACTGAACTCTTACTGAACTTCATAGAAGTGACTGACTACTTACGTTTGCAATAGAAACACATAAACTGTAAACACTTCACAACACTCACTATTTGTAGTTGCGATTGCTTGTTCTAAGCTTCTAATTAATCCTTATTAACGGGAGCCTCATTGTTAAGATTTCGATAATGTTTACATTCATATACGTTGTAGGTTAGAAATCGGAGGTGATGCAATCAGACATACGCTTTATATCAATCGGTTGGAAAAGCGGAGCTTTATGCCATATTGTAAAATTATAACATGAATAGGGGCTTACAATCATATTTTTATCGTATTTATAAACCGATGATGATTTCAATAAATTGATGAACGTCAAAGAATAATTGCAGCCTTTGGCGGTAGACATCGCAATCTGTAAACATAAAAAACTACTAGATTCATCCGATTTTAATGGCTCTAGTCCGGTCCGTTTAGACAATGGAATATAGAAATTTTGAATCTTTTCGAAAATGTTGATTTTCACGCGCAAAAAAGGACAATTCTATTTGGCGTGATCCAATATTGGATGAAGCGATAGTCATGAAGCCGAAAATGGCACGTTTTTGACGTTCCGCTCGCACTCGCTCGCTTTCGTAATACGATCGTATCTACAATACCCCGCCTAACAGGAATCCGGGGATCTGGAGGGGAAATTCAAAATTGAAACGTCAAACTAAAAATGTGTGCATATCTTTGAATTTTTGTAATCTGCCGAGTTTAAAAAATGCGATCGGGTACCGTGTAGTATGTCGGTTTAATCAGGAGACTTTGGTCTTTCGTTTTGCGAAAAAAAATCGTAGCCACGTCGCTCCGTAACGCAGGTCCGTATCGACGAAGACAAAGTACGCCGAAAAAACGGTTGTCATCGGTACTTTTGAGGCGCTCAAAGTTTACTTTTTCGAAATTTGACGGTAATTCTGACGGTCAGAATCGTTTCGTCAGCTCATTATCGTTATTTTTCGATAGCTGTATAATTTTTACTCGCTCACGTACGGTAGTAATAGGCGAAGACAGAGCCGGATGACAAAGTGACTTTTTCGCGCGTCGAAAAGTAGCGTGTTGTCGGACAATTTTAAAAAATCGAAACTTTCGACCAACAAGGGATAAAGGAAAAAAAAAGACGCTATCTTTGAGTCCGATGTCCGGGCTTTCTCACGCAAAAATCGTCAGGTTCGTAGCTCCTTTATCTTCGGAGGAGATAGCTAATATACGATGAAGCAGCGCGCTTTATACGCAAAAAAGTCATTCTTGACGACGTTCGAGGTTCGTTTATTCGAAACGAGTACCGTAAACGAAAAAACGTCTCTCCGCATAATTTGTAGCGCTCGCCGAGATGTACGAAACGCGGCGCGCGAAATTCCTTTTCTCTTCGGCATAAGGGAGATATCGTAGTTTTCAAGGCGATTCGTCGTTTTTGTCGCTTTTTTTTCGAACATTTCTAGAAAAAAAACCGAGACACGGAACCGAACAGATTTAGCTAATAGGCACGTATTTTTCGTTTAGCTATCGAACGAGACCGATCTCGAGTCGATATTTCGATAAACGGCGAAACCAGTGTGAAATAACGCCGCGTACCGTCCGAAAAACGGTCGATTTTTCGACTTTACCGGCCGTTTTCGATCCGATCCGTTCCTCTCGCCGCGACGGCTCTCGCCCGCCCGTAAAGCGCCGACCGTCTACTTTCCGAAACGGTACCTCTTTCCTTCCGGACGTACCGCGAACCTCCTAAAAAACCGCGAAAACCGCGTCGACGTCATACAATTTCCGAACCACTACCAATCACTACCAATTCAAAAACAATCGATCACCGCTTAATATAGTCGACTCTTTCATCGCTGCCTGCTTCGTAAGCTCCCTGAAATGGTTTTAATAAATGGGGTCCCAAAGCGAAAGCATCATCTGCAACGAAAACATAAGGGAAAGTAGTTTGAGTATAATTGGGTAAAGATTCATCTTTGGGTAACATCAGACTATTTTCTTCGAGCTTTCTGCCCAAAACGGTATTGCGGAATACACCTCCGTCACTTATACGACCTTGGCATCCAACATCCACATATGTGAACATGTAATTGGCATCCACAAGTGCCATCATAACAACACTGAAGGTGTGTTTACGATTAAAAAATCTGATGAAGTATTCATTGGGCTCTGAATCAGTATATGCTTCCCGTCTATAGCTCCCAAGCAATGAGGTAAATTCCACCTATTTTCGAATTCAACTGCGATTGTTTTCCATTCATCTGAAATAAATAAAAAAATACTAAATAGAAATATTTAGTCAGCGTTTACAAATGTTCGAGGTACATCATTGGAATCCCCTACTATACTACGCCCAACTAGCAAAGTAGTGGTATAAGCTTTTGGTAAAAGAACCGTTCAGCCATAAAAGCTCTCTATCGTTGTTGCCTGAACACTAAAATGCTGGCTTAATATTGTGTGGAATGCAAATTTGCTTTCTGCAACATATTTGCTCTAAAGTGAGGTGCTTAAAATATTCTGATAGCATAGATATACAACACCTTATAGGGCAAATTTTTAACTGTTGCATAAACGTTTATACAACTATTTTATACGGCATATTTGCACGTTAGTCAAAATGGTTGTGTTGTGGCATCCATGGTAACGTTTATAAAACAAACCCGAGCCTTGTTGTTTTGCTATGCAATTTACTACTTTAGCCAACAAATTGCTCCCAACGGAAGCACTTATACAACTGTTGTTTAGTAACTGTTAAAGGCTGTACATATGCTAAATATGTTGGTATACAACTTCACCATAACCTAACTTTCTGCTGTCATATTTTTGTTAAAATGCCATAACCAATGTTTTAAGACAAACATCGTATTTGTTGGTTCAAAATGTTTTATCAACTGTTCGAACAGAATATATAGATCTGGTACAAATTCTGGGTGAATCATTCGACTCTGTCGGTATTTCATTTCAGACATTTGTCAAATTGTTGTATAACACCTGCAGGAAACACCAAAATATTCTAATAACCTAAAGACAACATGGACGATGTCATGATTATACACAACCACCCGCCATATTGTGCAAACATTTATTCCTCTATTTAATATTAAATAATTATGTTTCTGTTCGAAATTGCAAGTGATAAACATTAGTGTAATTGTGTCTAAATATAGGATTTATGGAAGATTTAACGCAGATAAGTTCAGTTTTCCATCTTAAAAATCTAGACATACTTTTGATCATTATCAAAATATGAATCAAATACGAAGCCCGTAGAAATTGCGTACAAAACCACACTTTGTACTGCCTATGGGCAATTAGTTGCTAAGAGGCTAGAGGTGTTAAGCGAAGTGAACAGGACTATTGTGATGAACGAGATTGATAACGTATTCTTCAGGGCTACAATGAGGTCCATGGGACGACAATATCAATCAGCATCTCCAGGACCAGCTTCTTTCTATTCGTCTTCGATGGGACCTTAATATCAACCAATATTTCCAGAACCAGCCTCCCCAGCATCTTTTTATTCATCATCGTCTGATGAAGCTTCTCATAGAACTCCGAGGATAAACTCTTTGCAACTAAATTCCGCACTTCTTCCGTCCACCAACCGTCTATTGCTCCTGTGATTCCAACAACTACATGCAATGATATGTCCGTTCTAACAGAAAAGTACACTAATCTTTGACCATACTTTAATTTGATTATGCTTTGACCTTATTCGTAACAATAAGTTGTATTACATACTAAATAGATAAATCTTTGTTGTATACTTACTTTTATTTGATCGTTGAGAACGCTAATCAATGCATCGCAAACGCGAAAATGCTTTGGGATACAATTTGTGGCGAAAATTTGAAAAGGTACGACAAACTCACAAAACTGTCTCCATTAGCAAAGAACCTGAGCGCAACGCAGAACTTTTTCTTAACTCTCATCTGAGTATCTTTTTTCCCTATCATAATGTCCCACTTAATTCAGTAGAAATTCGAAGTCGGTGTAGGACATTCGCAGGAAATTATCTAGCATTCCTGACGGTTCTCGAATCAGATCCTCTATCATCATGGAGGCATTGTACCTGCAAAAGAAAAACCACTTTTTACTAGTATATTAAATTTGAGATATGAAGATATGGTATCTGCTTTTGGTCGACCAAGACAGATAGAGGTATCAACTTACCTCTCTCGACTTCTGTTCAAAGAAGTCATCTACCATCTTTTTCTTTTTGCCTTCTGAGCTTGATGAGCTTTAATTCTTCTTATGCAGTCACTCAATACCACAACCGCTGCTGCAGCGACAACGCTACCGTCCATGATAGAAGCAAAATTAATACTGAGGCCCGATAGGCGACGAAACCGGCTGTACTTGCCGAGTACACAAATATTGGCGTACTTGCGAAATACAGGAGTAGTGAGAGCGTGGTATTGAAAAATTGAGTTCAACGTTGATGTACTTAGCAAATAGAAGAGTATTGGCGTACTTGCCAACAGACGAGTAGTGAGAGTCCGCCTTTAAGGAATACCTCAGTACTGATTGCCGAGTAGCGCTACAAGTCGGCCAATGGGCCACTTTAGGTATATTTAATATCACTAACACGTAAAAAGAAGGTGGTAGACAAGGACCGAGGCAGTACCAACCGCTAGCTTTTCCCAGGGTGTCTTACAAATGTCCGCATGTTTCCACACCTAAGCTATACAGTCGGCAATCTTCCAAAACAAAGAAATTAATAATGATGGATCCCTCGAGCACTAAGAACTCCGGACGTAAACTCACTCCACCCTCGGAATGTCCGGGTGGAGGGTGGGCTCGAGGGAACAACATCGAAGATAAAATTTGTTTTTCGAACATCTGAGGGATTAACAGCAACATTTTTGCTGTTCATCACTACCTGCAATGAAATCGTCCCGCCGTGCTTTTCTTGGCGGAGACAAAAACCTCAGAGTTTGCACCGATTCACCATCTCAACTTCCCAAACTAGGAGGTGTACTCCAATCTGAGAAAGAACGGGGGAGTGTGGCTTTTGTCCACAGCAGTCTTTCTGCTCCAGAGATGTTTCTTTGGAATCAGACCGGAGGAACATTCTGTGGCTTTGCCTCAAACTCCAAAACATCACCCAAATTTATTTGTTGCCTTTATCGTTCTCCCTCGGACCATAACTGGGATGACCTACTCGAATACCTCGCCATCCAGATCGACTTTCTGAACATCAATCACCCCGCTTCAGAGGTAGTTCTTCTCGGTGATTTCAATGACCATATAAGCTTTGGTTGAGCTCAAACAAGACCGATGCAGCAGGTCGTGCAGTCGAAGCGTTCGCTCTTACTCAAGGGCTGACCCAGCTGGTGACGAGCCCTACTCTTTTCTCTCGCGTCTCGTCACACGCCAGTAACCTGTTGAATCTGTTTCTGACCACGCATCCTTTCCCTTACAGCACTGCTGTCCTGTCCCTCCTCGGTAACTCAGACCACGGTGTTGTGGAGGTTAGGTTTCGGTCAGAACCCGCTGGGGCAGCAGAAACTCGTACAGGCCGCAAAACTTGGCATTACGGACATGCCAACTGGGAGGGGCTCAGAGACTTCTTCTCTAGCTTTCCTTGAGATATGTCTGTTTCACTGACACGGATGCGTCGGCTGTCTGTTCTTCGATAACAGAGATTATTCACGTCGGAATAGAGGAATACATCTCTGACACAGTGAAAGTGCCTAAACCAGGGTCGAACGGCTGGTTTAAAACAAATCGTCTGACACTGCTCGCTAGCAGAAGATCAAGGCACACCGAACCTTCTTACAAACCCCACTGTAGAGAACAGACAAGCCGACGTCGATTCCAGAAACAAATATAACGAAGCGGTTCGCAATGCCAAAAACCAGCACGATATAAAAGGTTAGGCACAGGGTAATGTCGCAGCACGATGGCAGTCGGTCTTTCTGGACGCGGCCAAGCAGATTAAAAAGTACTTCACACAGTAGCCTTCCACCAGTTACGTGTCAGGATGGAACTACTGCATTCGACTCAAAGGCCTACACTATGCGGGAGGTGACATTCAGGCATAAGACCGTAAGACGAGTGCCTTGTCGCTCGCCATCAACAAAGCTGCTGGTCCAGACAGAACTGAAGAGGTGTGCAACGGAGCTTGCTCCAGTTCGTTCGCGTCTCTTCGGGATATCTTATGAATCCGGTACCTTCCCAGAAAACTGGAAATTTGCTCATGTCCAACTCATCCCAAAAAGAGGATCTAAGACCGGCCCTTACAACTACAGGCCATAGCTCTGCTTTTTGTTATAAGTGAGGTGATGGAGAGGTGCATAAAATCGCGAGCTTTTGGACTACCTCGAACGTCACAAGCTTGATTTGCGACAGGCAACTCATCCATTCTTACTGTGAGGCTCATGACGTGCTCTTGACATCACAAAAGCGTTCGATGCCCTCTTAAGCAAACTTCCAATAAATGGCCTCCCAGAAATGGTATGCAGATGGGTGGCTGACTTTGTCTCTGGCCGCAAGATATCCTTCGTAATTGACGGGTTTTCCTCTTCATCCCATAACGTTAACGCGGGTGTTCCCAGGGATCGGTCTTGGCTCCAACACAGTTCTCTTACATATCAACGAGCTCCTTTCCTGCACGGTCAACCCAATCCACAGCTTCGCGGATGACAGCACTCCACATGCAGGAATTCAGAGTGAAAAGCCAATCTCTGCTGCGCTGAGCTGGAAAAAAAGAAGACTAGCGACGACTTCCTCTCTGATAAAAGACCTGGAGGCTATCACTGCTTGGGAACGCAACAATCTTGTACAGTCCAATGGTCCCAAAACACAGTACTGTGCTTTGATGAACAAAAAGCGTCCTAGCGCTCATCCTGTTTTCGATGAACGGGCCAAGTTCTGCCAAAGAGCCATTCATTTCGGCTGGTCGGGA